GGGACCCCGCAGGCCCATATGACCGGTGATGGCACCTCCGTGACACCTGCCAGTCCAGGGCCCATCACCAGCTCATGCCTCTTGGCCACTTCTCATTTCCAGAGGCTGGAAGCAGGCCCACCACACCACAGCAGCCTTGCTAAGGGATTGGTCTGGAGCAGAGGTCCTCGCTGGCCCATGGGGTCAAGGACTTCCCATTGCCCTGCTCACAGGCCTCCAGCAAAGCCTGGCCTTGTGGATCACTCCCCGTGGGGCTGGCAGGCAGGGAGGCTTTGTGGGGCTTCTGCTTGTGGTACATGAGTGCTCTTTATGGCCACTGCTTGTCCCAGGTCCTGTCTTTGCTGGGGCGAGGGTTTGAAGGCGCTCACCTCCCTCACTGTGCACCCATCCCATCCTGGCAGGGAGCCCCGATGGACACGGGAGCGGAGCAGAGCATGTCCTGACCCCTGCCCCACGCGGCTGCCCCAGGACTATGGACGAGTGGAAACCCAACTCCACCATCAAGCCCCACAAGAAGCGGAGCTGGTACCTCGCCTGGAAGTACAAGCTGATGAACCAGCGTGCGCTGCGGAAGCTGTGCCAGGTGAGTCACCCGCAAGCCTGTGATGGATTAGGGAGGATAATCTATAGGGTTTACAAGATTATGGAGCAGCTGTGTGGGTGGAGGTGGAGCAGTTGCTGGCAGTCCTGAGTGACCTAACATGCTGGGGAAGCACAACTTTTCCCCCAAAAGCTACAGCTGGTGGCTTTTTGCCCAAGTGTGGAAGGGTCTGCCATGTCTGCAGCTCCTTCCAGCTGCAAATGGCCCTGTTGGATGGCTATGGCAGGAGGTAAATTATCCAAGTGTCTGTCCTTCAGAGGCTTTCAGCTAAAAACCCCACTGATTCCTCCTCTCCTGGTCCTGGACCTGTGCCAAGTGCAGCAGGGCTCAGCCTGCAGTGGGAAACCACTCCTGCCCTGTCTGGTTTGCCTTCAAACCTAGTATAAGGCACAACAGGTGGACAGAGAGAGTAGGGCTGAGTAACGGGATCTCATGCCCCAGAGGCAGCTGGTGTCTGGGAAAGCTGCAGGCTTGGTCACTTGTGCTGTAAAACAGCCATCCTGGGGGGTGTCTGGGGAATAAGGGCAGGAAGGGTTTGGCCCCATGGCAGCAAGCTGCAGAAGAGGGGCTGTTCCTGAGATGAGCAGAGCTTGGAGAAATCTGGCAGTTGGTTTCTGTGGGAGGGAGCAGGGGAGGGTTTTGTGTGTGCCTGGGAGGACGAAGGCTCACGAGGGCTCCCTGGGGAAGGAGACTGCCCAGCTCTGCGTCCCCTGGGGTGCATGGGGCTTGTGAGCAGGCCTGCATTCAGGCAGGCATTGCTCATTGGGCTGGGGGCAATGGGCTAAAGCCTCTCTGCTGTCATCTCTCTCTTACATGGGACTGCTGTGACTTAAAACACAGATGAAAATTGAGCTTAAAATATGTAAACTAGAGTTGCAGTTCTGGAGTAGCCAGGTCTACAGTGGCTGGGCCTGTCAGCAGCTCTGACTGAGCCAGCCTTGCTAGTCTTGGCTGCTGGTCATTGCTCTGGTCACCTGGGCTGTGGGGTTCCTTCCCTGCCTCTCCAGTACTGACTGGGGTGGAAGGTCTGGGCAAGTTGGTAAGGTGGCCTTGCTGCTGGCCACCAAGCACAGCCTGCTCCTTGCTGTGAGCCCGTGGCTCTGTTCTTGCCTAATTAAAAGCTTTCTCTGCACAGATCTCTAAAGGTGCTCATACTCCAAAGTCAGCAGCAAATCAACAAGCCAAAATGCCGTAGTGATGTTTATATTGTCACTTTTCCTACCTGTCCATATCCTGTCTCTTATTGCTGTTTTTCCATCTTCCTCTTCCTCAGTTACTTCTTGAACCCGTTTGGCTGCTTGACAGAGGTAGCAGCAACATGTAGCTTTGAGGCAATAGCTGGCCAGGTAGAGGGGGGATCCTTTTAGTGCTTCTCAACAAGGACAGACCTCTGTGGGGTCTCAACCCCATACCAGACCTCAGAGAATCAAAGGTCCTAGAGCTGAAAAAGGCACAGATTTTTAGGAAGCAAGCTGTTGGGGTGTTGAGGGGCAAGGGAAGATGTATCAACATCCCCTTGTGGGGGGACCAGGCTATGAGCAGACTCCACCGACCTCTGCCCTCCTCTTCCTTGGTTGGTGTGACACCTCTATGCTGAGTCGTGGGATGCTCCAGGAGGTTAGCAGGACCTGGGGAAAACCACTTGGTGTGTCCATAGCACAGCTGAGCCAAAGGGACACCACTTTTGGCTAATGGGATGAATCTGTCAGCAGCACCTAGCAGTCAGATTTGGGCCTCCTTGGTGGCTCATCAGTGAGCTGGATGATCCCTTCTGGCGTGGATGCTGGCAGGGAAGCTGTGCAACAGTGTTAGCGTTGAGGATAATGACTGTTTGGAGCTTTGTGTCTTAAATCCAACAGCAAAGCCTTCCCTCATCGTGTGAGTGTCCAGGGCAGCTTTTGAGCTCTCTGCTAGAGCTGTTCCTCAGCCCCAGAGCAGGGCTGTGGCTGCTGGGCAGGGACCTTGTCCTCGTGCAGAGCACCACAGCCACCACATGCTGCTGTCACCTTTCCACTGTGAAGAAGCACCTGGGCCCTGGGTTACAAAGCTTACCTGGGTCAAGTAAAGACAGATTGCTTCAGCTGAGGCCTTGTCTTTAAACCCAGGCCATCCTGCATCCCTAGCCAGCACTGCAGCTCTAAGACCATCCTCTTGGCTGTGGCCAGACGTGTTCTTGCAGCTTACATCTGCAGGTGGATTGTTTCCCAACATGGGATGTAGGTGGTCCAAGCTTTCCTGGGTGGCTCTGTCTCAGAAGAGGTCCTCTTAGCATGGAATCATTTCTGCTTTACACTGGGTCCAAATACCAGGAGAAGGACTGAAATGGGGGAAGAGAAAAACAAGATGTATTTTAATAAATAGAGGTGCCTGTAGAAATGAAGTCTTTTTACCCTCCCCTTGATCTTGGACCAACAGGCCCATGGGAAATGTGATGCTCGTGCTGGAGTTTCCCATGGGCTGCTCTGTAGCCCCTGGACCTTCCCATAGCCCTTTGTGTCAGCGTTCACACGAGTTGCCTTGGTTTGCTGTGGAGGGTAAGGCTGCAGGCTGTTCTCTGGTACATTGTGGTTTCCTGAAGCCAGACCTTAGCTATGGCCTTTGCCTTGTTTTAGTCACAGAGCATCTCCTCTCCCTCTGAATACCTGGATACATGCTCTGGTTGCAGAGGGGGAGACGAGAGTAGTGATGCTGCAGGAGAGGCAGAGGTTGTTTACCATGGGAGCTGTAACTCTGAGTTCCCAAACTCTTTGCATGCAGAGACCCTCAACCTTGACACAATATTTCAGCAGCAATCTGCTCACCAGTCTGGAAGTAGGGACACCATGGAAGCGAGTTAATTCTCATCTATCAAGGGTTCAGTGCTCTCCAGCTAATGAAAGCATTTCACCCTAAAACTCAGTCACCTGTATTTCTTTCTCTTTGCCTTTTCCCAGAAGAAAACAGGGGAAATGGCAGATGCCTTGCAAGATCTCCTTGGGGCGCCCTGCAGCCTCTGCCAAGGAGGTGCCCTGATCTCAGGATTGTAATGTACAAGTTGGTAACACAGTGTCCTGCGTTGCAGACGGGTGCTGTCCTCTTCCTGCTTGTGACTGTAATTGTGAACATCAAGCTGATCTTGGACACCAGGAGAGCTGCTTATGCGGAGGAAGAGGAGTCTGCTCAGGACTATGGTGAGCAGCAGCATCTTGCTTTTTTATTTTTTGGAAAACAAGGAAACTGGAGGGAGGGAAGTAATTTCTTTAAGTCAGAGCAAACTTGTGACCAGCCACAGCACAAAAGACAGGTCTGTGCATGTGGGTTTAATAAAAATGAATAGAAAAGGCTGTTCCCATTTCTGGTTTGTCTACTCAAGGCTTCAGCAAGTTTGGCTGCAGAGGTCTCTGTGGGGCGAGCTGGGGCCAGACCTGTTGCCGTTTTGGATTTCCCTTACCTGCCATCCCCATAGATTCTGACCCATGTCTTGCTGGACTGGGATACCTGGTGGGAATGACCTGGAGGCTTGGCTGGGCTAGCGTTGAACCAGAGCAAACCAGAGGTGCCTTGGCTGGTTGACGCTGGGCATTTCTCCCCTGCAGATGATGAGATGCTGAATGTGGAGGTCCCTAGGCACCCTGTCAGCAACAAGAAGGTGTTGGATGTTGAGGTGTACTCCAGCCGGTCGAAGGTCTACGTGGCTGTGGATGGGACTACAGTAAGTGACGGGTGCTGACCATCCCTGTGAGCGGAGGATGGGTGGCGCTGAATGGGTGAAGCCCCAAGCAGCAGGTGTTCAGAGCGCTTCTGTGGCCAGCAAGAAGGTCAGGAGTGGATCCTACTCCTGCTAACAGGTCTGTGGAGGTGTTGTCCCCATGTTGTCTTCTACTCTGGCATCCATCACAGCCATGAGGAAAGCCAAAATGTCACGGGAGCGAGACTCGCCCCTTGTTTGAGGGCTCCATTGTGATGAATGGGCAGGGAATAAGAGGTCTTGGCGTATGGTTCTCATCGCTTCTCCACTTGCAGGTCCTGGAAGATGAGGCTCGGGAGCAGGGAAGGGGGATCCACGTCATCGTCTTAAATCAGGCTACGGTAAAGCATCCCCATGCATCTGCATTTGTCTGTCTTACTGAGCGGTGTTTGTCTTTGCTCTTTAACTGTTGAGGGCACAAGGCAAAGGGCAGCAAGGAGGGAAGTCCCCAAATGCTTGTTTGCCTGTGGTTTCCAGAGCACGACATGGTCAGCCAGAGGGTCCCTGCAGTGTTTCTCTTGCAGCTGCCCAGCTGGCCTTGGGGAGCAGGCAGGGGAGAAGTTGTGAGGTTGGGTAGTGCTGTCCCATGGACCTCAGTGCACTCGTGCATGTGTGAAGGTCCAAGGGCTGAATTGGCCTGGGGACTAACTCCCTGGCATACCAGAAGAGTAACTCATCATGTTGCTCAGGGGCTGAGGTTTCCAGGACAGGTTTCCATAATTCTGCATGTCCTGGCTGTATAATAGCATTTAAAATGCATCTGATGTTTGAATACCAACAGGGTCACGTGATGGCCAAGAGGGTCTTTGACACCTATTCTCCCCATGAAGACGAAGCCATGGTACTTTTCCTCAACATGGTTGCCCGGGGCCGGATTCTGATCTTCACCATTAAGGTATGTGACCTTAATGTCAAAAGAAAAAGCCACCATGAGTCAGGATGACCTGAAGCTTGTCTAGGTAGTTGCCTCCTGAATGTCATCAGGCATTCTCAGGGCTAAATGTCACATCCCCACTGGGCTGTGTCTCCCTGGCTGGATCATCTCCCTTGTTCTCTCACTCCCCCTTGTTGTTACAGATATTGCTGTGTGCCCAGCAAGGCAGGAGAGCAAAAAGCAGATGTGTCAGAGCCTGCAGCAATAAACAAGAGGTTAGATGGAGAATGTACATGAGGAAATATAAGGATGTGGTGGCTTTGGCAGGGGCACTGTGGACTCTGCTGGCTCTGGGCTGCTGTGTGAGCAGCACCGTGCTTCTTCAAGGTTTCAGGTTTAGCTGTGTGAAGTGTTGCTGAACACATGACCCTGCTTGAGAGCAATTTGGTCTCGAGGAAGCAGGAGTCTGCAACTCCTCTGACCTCCCTGTGGGTCATGATGAAGCCACCAGCAGGTTTAGTGGCACAGAGACCTTAGGAACCTGCACTTGAAGGTTTCTGGCTCAGCTTGTTCAAGGGTAGGAGTGGGCCCTGTACCTCTTTGGTACTGATAGGAGGCTTTCCTTGTCTGCATCAGGAGCCAGACCTCAGCTGCAGAGTTGTGTTTTGTTCCAGGATGAAGGCTCCTTTCACCTCAAGGACACAGCCAAGAATGTTCTGAAAAGCCTGGGGAGCCAAGTTGCACCATTCCTAAGCTGGAGAGACATGTGGACATTTGTGGGGAAGAAGGGAGGTGAGTCCACCACAGGCCAGGAGAGCGTTCATGGCTCCTTTTTTGGGGAGAAGCCAGGTGAAGGCAAACCCAGCCCATCCCCAACATGCTGCATGAGCAGGGAACAATTCACAGAGAGCGGCAGCTCTGTTCCTGGGGGTGAGGGTGGGGATGGAAGCAAAGCATGTCCCATCAGCAGCTCACCAGGGCCCAAAGGGAAAAGGTACCAAGCTGCCACCCTGAGCTACAGCCCCTGGTCATGCCTTGACACATCAGGGATGGGCCCTTCCAGACAGTCCTGACCCTATGTCCCTGCTCCAGGGGAAGTGTATGGGGAGAAGCACGCCAAGTCTCCCGCCCTCTCGACATGGGGTGACCCCGTACTGCTGAAGACAGAAGTTCATCTGACCTCTGTGGAAGGTAGGAAGTAAGATCTGCTCTGTGGTGACAGGTATCTCTAGGAGATGACTGCCTGCTGCTCTTTTTGAGTCCAAGCTGTGGGTCTGTTAGCAACATCCCAGGATGGATTTTAAGGCTGTTTGAGGTGGGGATGATAACTTTTAAAATGGGGACATCTTCATTTCTTCCTGCTTCCATGGCAATTCCAGGCATGATTGTTGAGAAAGGTGAGGATGGGGAGGTGGGGATGTGGCCTGGCCATTTGTCACATCTCCAAACGAAGCCCGATCCAGTCTTTTCTGAATGTTGACCTTGAACAAAGCTACTGCTCAGAGAGGCCATAGGATGGGGTTGGCTTCTGAATGGCTCCTGTGGTTATATCCTGTATCCAGAAGTGTTGCTTGTTCATAGCAATAAGGAGTGGCTTGTTGATGGCTGAGCCCAGGGAGAGCTGTCTGTGTGGCAGTGCAGCCTGGAGCACACTAGGTGAGGTCATGGCGATGAGCAGTCTGTTTTTGCTCCTTGGTGCCTCCAGATGCTGAGTGTGTTTGTGTCCCTTTGCCCTGACACAGAGCTGATCCGCCGCCGGAAGAGGTTCTGCAGCAAAGTAGAAGGTTATGGCAGCGTCTGCAGCTGCAAAGACCCCACACCCATTGAGTTCAACCCTGATCCCGTGAGTGCAGAGGCAGAGTATTTGGGGAAGGCTCCAGGAGGGAGGGCTGGGCTGGGCCAGGTGTGTTTGCAGCTCAGATGCAGAGCCCTGTCCTTAAGCACCAGTGGTGAAAACTGCCCTTGGGCAAGCTCTGAACCCCAGCAAAGGTGAGGTGAATACACATGGTCGTGTCATGCTGGCAAAGGGGAGTTCCCTTGCCCTACACCTGCCCCGAGCTGCCAGGTTACCATGGCTCTATGGATCTCAGTGTGAAGGGCAGAGCCTGTACGTTTGGGGGAAGAGCAGCTATGATGGCCTTTGGGCTGTCCTTGGCACCCTGATGGGGGATTTGGACAAAGATCTCCAGGTGGATGCAAGTTGGGATTTAGGAGCTGGGTCTGAGGTGGGATGACAGGGGGAAGCTGGCAGGGTCCCCAGCAGTGCTGAGTGGAGTCCTGGTTGGTCAGTGTGGTCCTGAGCCAAGGGGTAGGACTGTGCAGCTCTGCTGTTTTAACAGCAGGGTTGATCCCTACCCCTTGGATCCTGCTCTGAGTGGCATGGCCTCCCCCAGCCCCACTGTCACACGTTTTTCTCTTCTAGCTCAAAGACAATAAAGTCTTCAATGTGCCTGTAGCTGTTATTGCAGGGAACCGCCCCAACTACCTGTACAGGTAAGCACTTCCAGGGGGACGTGGTTCTCTGCTCTGTGCCACGAGACCAGGCATGGCCCAAGCCCTCCCCTTCGTCCTGCTGGCAGGATCCAGCCTCCTCCTGCGGTTGCCCAGGCACTGTGAGCAGACCTGCTTGGACAGATCCCACAGTCCCTGGCCATGGGAAAGGGAAGAGCCCAGGGGCAGTAGATCCTGTTCCCTTTCCATGCACCCTTTCCCCCACCTCAAGGGATCCATACCCCTCTGCTGAGTGGCCCCGGCCCACTGGGGCTGTGCTGTGCTCATGCTCCTCAATCTCTTCCCCAGGATGCTGCGCTCCCTGCTGTCGGCTCAGGGCGTCAATCCGCAGATGATCACAGTCTTCATTGATGGATACTACGAGGTGAGAGCACTCCTGGAGGCCCCTGTAAACAGGTCCTTGGTCCCCCAGCTGAGAGGATGTGGTGCTGGCCCAGTGCTTGGTGGATGGCAGGCTCTTCATCCTGCTGTGGGTCACCCTCCTCCTCTCCACTCCTACACAAAGTCAGTCGGCTTAGCCAAGCCACGGGTGTGGACAAAGCTGCCTTGTCTCAGGAGATCCTTCTCTCTTTTTGTGGTGACATGGGCAGTAAGGGGATGGAGGAGGCCTTGGTGGGGCCTTCTTGGAGCAGAGATATGTCAGCCCAAAAATGGATTACTTCTGACCCCAGTGTGGATATGCTTGGTCAGAGAGGTCCCTTTCTTGGCAACTGTGAGAGGAAATCAGTTGATTGTGGTCTCAACATGAGGCAGCTAGTAGATGTTCCTGGGTATACCTGTTTTCTTTCCACACTGTCCTTTGGGGACTGGGAATTTTGGGCCTCTCAGATATTCTTGCATACAACTTTGGGTCTGCAAACTAGCAGGGCTAACAGAAAATTAGGGTGATACTTACAGCCTGAAGGGCCAACAAGGTTTGGCAAGTTCCTTGCTGTCAGGTCTACAGCGCAGCATCATGCTGAGCCTCGCTTGCCCTCAAGAGGACAGCCATGTGTAGGGGATCCCACAGGCATATCCTTGTCCCAGGGAGCTGACACTGGCAAAGAGTGGGGAGAATGTATCCAAGCCCACACATTTGATGACCTTTGTATCTTTCCATTGCAGGAGCCAATGGATGTCGTGGAGCTGTTTGGCCTCTCAGGAATCCAGCACACTCCCATCAGCATAAAAAATGCCAGAGTTTCCCAGGTGAGAGACCTTTCACAAATCCTGGGAGAATTATTTCCTGGGACCTGGGATAGCATTTGAGGGAGGCAGGCTTAGCCCCGTGTCTGTGCCAGGCTACCACTCCCTGTGGTCTGGGGGTTGATGCTAACACAGGCAATGATCTGTCTTGTCTTGTAGCACTACAAAGCCAGTCTGACTGCAACCTTCAACCTATTCCCGGTGAGTGAGGTGTCTGCCTGCACCTGGTTTAATTGCTTGCCTGTGGGAGCAAGACAGCGCAGGGTTTCCCTGGGCGAGTGGCATCTGTGACCTCCATCTCATGGGAGATGGAATTGGTCCTGTGGGCCAGGGAACAGCACAGGTGGGAGACACTGCTTGGTGTCTCTGCTCTGTCCTGGTCCTATCCCTCTGACATCTCTCCTTGCCCTACAGGATGCTAAATTCGCTGTGGTTCTGGAGGAAGACCTTGACATTTCTATTGACTTCTTCAGGTAAAGCTGTGGGTCCCTGAGCTCCAGTTTGGGTAGGGCATTTCCTAGAAGCTCTCTGGCTGCTCAGGAGACATCAGACCCCTGCCATGCTGTAGCTCACCTATCCAAGGCTGAGCAGTCCCCAGGCAATGGCCATAAATGAGCTCTGCCTGCAGAGAGTCTTGAGTCTGCTCTCCTGGCACTCAGTGCAGGGTGACTCCGAGGTCTGGGATCTCTTCCTGATTTACTTTTTGGGGACACTAATCCATTCCGTACACACATGGTTAGGATTGCTCCATGGCAAGAGGACAGGGACAGCATCTACCAGGGTTCCAGTTCTTTCATTAAGGTTGAGGGACAATATTGTCCCCTCCCCATGGTGAGATGTGGCTTAGCTTGTTTGGGTGCTTCTCCCCTGATCTCACACCAGCATCAGCCATCTCAGCCCAAGAGATGGGTTAAACAGTCCCAGCAGTTGCGGGTGGCTTGTCCCTTTGTGGAGAATTTGCCTTGGTTTGCCTGGGGAAGGATGTTTGACCAGGAACTGGGCAACTCTTTCCTCAGCTTTCTGAGCCAGTCAATACACCTTCTGGAGGAGGATGAGAGCCTGTACTGCATCTCGGCTTGGAATGACCAGGTGGGTCAGGGAGGGTGGTGGAGCAGGGACACCTCTGCCCTGTGTTCTTCCAATGTCAGGCTGAGGTCCAGGTTCTGTCTGTAAAGTGGAGTGTCCCCCCACCATAATCCTAGGTGGGTCTGTCTCCCTAGCCCTGAGCTGTTTTAGAAGTGCCCCTGCAAATCACCATCCTGTTCCTGCCTTGTGCTTCCCAGTGGCTGTCCCCTGCTCCCTATGCTGGGAGTCTCCATGGAGGAAGATGCCTCCTGTTTTGTCAGGGTAGGGATGCATTGAGCATGCTGACTGCTCCCCTTCGCATGGCAGGGCTATGAGCACACAGCTGAGGACCCCTCGCTCCTGTACCGTGTGGAGACCATGCCGGGCCTGGGCTGGGTGCTCCGGAAGAGCCTGTACAAGGACGAGCTGGAACCAAAGTGGCCAACCCCTGAGAAGGTGAGTACCCTAGAAGGACCCTGTCTTCTGCACACCCATCTCTGCCCATCAGCAGTCCCCAATCATCACCCAGTCCCTGTGGGTACAGCTCTTGAAGGGACCCTGTCTCTTTCTGAGCTTCCACTGGGAAAGATTCCTGAGCAGAATGGATTGGGGACAGACATTAACTTGAGGACCACATAACCAGCCTGGCTGGAACTGCCCAGGCAGGCTGGGGCCAAAGGGGCTGGAGCTGATGTGGGCAACCAGAAAGGTCCCTGGGTAGCCACACTACCAAATCATGTCCCCAGACTTGAGTGTGAGTGGCAGTTTCCCCTCCCCAGCTCTGGGACTGGGACATGTGGATGCGGATGCCTGAGCAGCGGAAGGGCCGGGAATGCATCATCCCTGACATCTCGCGCTCCTACCACTTCGGCATCGTGGGGCTCAACATGAACGGCTACTTTCACGTGAGTGACCTCCCTCAGCCCCCAGGCCCAGTTCTGGTGCTGAGCTCTAACTCAGCCACCTTTCCAGGTAGTGGGGATGCTTGAAGTGACCTCCAGGTACTGCTGGCTCTGGACTGAATCCTTTTTTCCTTCCCTCCTCTCTCTCTCTCTTCCTCCCAGGAAGCCTATTTCAAGAAGCACAAGTTCAACACAGTTCCAAACGTCCAACTTAAAAATGTGGAGAGGTGAGTACTGGTCAGAATGAGATCTGATTGAAACAGTTGCTTGATCTGACCCTTGTCCCCTTGTGCAGGGGACATCTCCCTTCCTTCAACACCCATAACCTCCAGCCTCAGCACACTGGCCTCCACTGGGGAATCCTTGCAGTGGTTTTTGTGAGGTTGGGTTCAGCTACCCTGTGCTCCTGGTAGATGTGTTGAGGGGTCATGTTTTTGCTGCCATATCCTCCAGGATACATGGCAGACCCTGCTCTCCTTTCATTGGCTCCAACCTGCCTTTTTGTATTACACCAAGGCAGTCTAAAGTTTGGATCATCTTGGGATGATCCCTGCTTATCAAACTCTCTGGCTCTGCCCTGATCTCTCTGCTCTCTCCTCCTCCAACAGCTTGAGGAAGGATGCCTACGAGACTGAAATTCTTCGGCTCCTGGGGTAGGTGCCTGCAGGGAAGTTGGGAGACCAGAAGGCACACTGGGTGAACCAACCGGGGCAGAAGAAAGGGTGGAGTGGCCCTGGCAGCCCCAGCCACTACTTGCCTGTCTGAAGCACCCTGCAGTGGAAACAGGGAGGAGGGGAGGTCCCCTCTCACTCTCTCTTTTCTTTCCACAGTGAGGCTGAGGTCTTGGACCACAGCAAGAACCCCTGTGAGGACTCCTTTGTGCCTGACACTGAGGGCAGAGTCTATGTCATGTTCATCAGGATGGAGCAGGAAGCAGATTTCACCACCTGGACTCAGCTTGCCAAGGTGAGGCTCCTGACATGGCCCATCCTCACTCCTGCACCGATCTTGGCATTGCTGGGAAATGTCTGTCTGGGTTTGTCTGTGGCCTTGGGTACAGCTCAGCAAATGGATTCTTGCTGCCCTTGGGTGGTATTTAAGCTGTTGGTGTTTACAGAAGCCACTGGGTTGTCCAGGGCAGATGTTTGGCTCAGTGGAGAGAAGTCTTATGATCTCCCTGTGAGGGACCTCAGGGTCTGAGCTTGTGTGGGTGATTCTGTCACATGCACAGAGGTGATGGTCAAACCCCTTGTCTTGAGGCGGGGATGGGAATGGGTTCCCACTCTTCTCTCACTGATGGTGGCTGGCACTGCCCCAGTCAATGTGCTGTCCCCTCTCTGCTGTGTCTTGGTGAGGGGCGGGGATGGTGGCTTTTCCCTTGCAAGAGGACACCTGGCCCTGGTGTCTGTCCCCTGGCTCTGATGCCTCTTCCTCTCTACCTTCCTAGTGCCTCCACATCTGGGACCTGGATGTCCGTGGGAACCACAAGGGGCTGTGGCGGCTCTTCCGCAAGAAGAATCACTTCCTCGTGGTGGGGGTCCCTGCCTCCCCCTACTCGTGAGTATCGGGGGCACAGTGACCTGGGTAATCCCCTGCCATCCTCCTGGCACTGTCCCCTGCCCAGGGCCTGCATCATCCGCTTCTGTCCCAGCCCAGTCCGAGGGCATACCACCCCTCTTCTGAATCATTGTGGTGGGAGGCGGGGACAGGATGCATGCCCAGGCCTGGAGGATGTCCCAGTGGGAAGGAGATCATGCCAGGGAGGCAGGCAGTGCTGTTGGGAGTTGGGGTCCTGAGGGAGACCACACCCCCTGCCTGCTCCCATCCAGCCTCCTCACCTGCAGGTCCAAGAAGCCCTCATCGGTGACACCGATCTACATGGAGCCCCCTGCCAAGGAGGAGGGGGCAGTGGCAGTGCCAGCAGTTGCTGCAGCAGAGCAGACGTGAGACTGGCAGCTGGGAAGCGAGGGGGACCGGGAGAAAATGGAGACCTCCATGGTGCAGAGACAGAGTTGGCAGCAGCTCCTGAAGCTGGTGACCAGGCATAGACTCCCATTTCAGGCTGCAAAATGAGACCTCAGGCTCCTTCCAACCCCCTGTTGTGGTCTCCCCCTCCTTCGCACGGGACAGGGTTCTTCCCATCCAAGAACATTGGGGTTTTTTTAACACAGACTCTTTACTAACACTGCTCCCATTAGCCCCTGGCTGGCCAAGGCTGGAGAAAGGAAATGCTTAGCTGGGGGCTACAGAGGGCCTAAAGAAACACCTCTGCTTCCCTTGTGGTCCCCAAGTCCTGAGAAGGCAGCATGCTTGTGTGCAAGTGCTGCAACCTACCAGCTAGGTGTTATTTATTAACTCTTGCCTGGCTGGCTCCATGCCCAGTGGTGAACACGGTGGTGAAGAGGGGATCTTCCAACATCTCTTCTGTCTCCTGCACAGTGGATGCACCTTGAAGACTGTATGTTGGGTTGGACACCTCCTCACATGCCAGCTTTGCTTCTTGGGCTGCAGCAACTGGTGCAGCCTAGCCCACAAGGCAAAAGGGAATGCTGAAGAGGAGCTGAACTTGCTGTGGACACATAGGGGACACCCTATACCCAGCATGAGGGTGGTCAGGTGTCCCTTTCATTCCCTGCAGTTCTGAGAGCTGAAGATGACTGTGTAGGTGGAAGTGGGCCAGGCTGTGTGCTGGGGCTCAGACTGTCCTCATCCACCTTCTCTGTGGGGAGAAGCCCTGCCCACTGAGTCGTGGGAGAAGGGGTGAAAGTGCCTTGCAGAGCGAGATGGGAGCAGCCAGCGTGTGCAGAGGCAGGATGGTCTGGGGTCCTGTGGAGCCAGAGATGCTGTGCTCCGGCGTGGTCCTTGCCTGTGGTACTGTACCCTGTCTCCCTCCTCCCTGGCCGGGTACCCCCAGCTCTTGCTGTAGGCAGAGGGGGTTTGTTCTCCTGAATCCCCGCCCTTACCGTGGTACGTTGCTGGCAGGGAAGCTGTGAGCTGAGCTGGGATGAGCAGCCTGGCTGTCCTGCTGTGGTACACCCCTTGTGTAGTGGGAGAGGGAGGGGGTTCCTGTCCCCTGTCCTGTGCCTTAGGAAGGACCCCAGGGCCCCCTCTCACCCCCAGTCACTTGGTACTAATGTCCCCTCCACTGGTGGCAGTTCTGGTGCCCGTGCTCAGTACACCTCCCTGTCTCATCCATGCAGCAAGAGCTCTGTTCTCTGCCCAGGTCCCTCAGCCTCAGGTGGGGATGCTACACTCTGGCTTGCCCCTGGGAGGAGGATTTGCTGCTCAGCCATTTCCTTGTGGTCACAGGGGCTCTTCCCCTTCATTTTCTCACTGTGAACTGAGCGTTGGGGTCTACACTACACTAACTTATTTATTTATTGCTTGTGGGAAGGGGAGGATAGTAGGAAAGGAGCATGGAGAGCTGGCAGCCCCCAGCCTGCACAGGGACAGTTGTGGGAGGTTTGTCACCCTGGCTTCATCATGTTCCCCTCCTTCCTCCCTTGCCCAGCATAGGAATGAATAGTTGAGAAGCCAGCAAGTCTGCTCCTCTTCAGCCCAAACGAGCCCTGTGTGGACACAGCACAGCTGTAGTGTGACTGCAAGGGTCTCTGACCCTCCTGGTCTTTTGCATGCCTGTCCCAGGAGCAGGGACAGGATGGATGCAGGAGGGGAACAAGAGGGTGCAAGGTGGCACCCTTGAGACTGTGGTACTGGGCTTGAGTTCAACCCTGCCCTCCTCCGGGGCTCTGCTCTGGCAGCCAGTGGGCAAGCAGCCTCTCTGTGCTAGCCCTGGGCATGCTTTGGAAAACCTTCCCCAGCTCTCCACCACGCTGCCCTTTTCCTTGGCATCTCTGTTCCCAAGGCCACATTTCCCTTCCCCCTAAAACTAAATGCACCCCTTTTCCTTTCCTCTCTGGCAATGCTCAGGCTTGGTTTCCTCCTGGTTCCTCGTGGGGCTGGGGAGAGTGGTCCTAGGGATTGGGAATGGCTAAACACGAGTTCCCCTCTCCTCTGCTGCCTGCTCTGCAGTCCCCAGAGGGCTGTGACTCCCTGCTCTCAGTGACATCAGGACTTGACCTGTGGGCTTTGACCTCCCCCATATGCACACCGCCGTGGGCCCACTGGATGCTCTTCTCCGTTCCTCCCCGTTCCTCCAGCAAGGCTCCGGTGCAGCGGCTGTGGTAGAGCTGGGCGCGTGGGCATCCCCAGGGCTTGCCGCTTTCTGAAATGAATTATTTTTTCAAGAGTAAACATTGCAAAGCTGTTGAGCCTCATGTGTTTCATGGCCAGCTTTGTGCATGTCCCGGGGCTCTGGGTTCCCTGGCTGTGGCCACCTGCCTCGAAAGGACAGACCCCTGTCCTCTGTGGCATCTCTGCCCTGTGCACTGCAGGGCTAGCTGTGGGCTAACAGTGGCCCTGGGCACCTGCCCTGTGGCTCCTGTGCCAGCAGAGGTCCGCTGTGCCATGTGGAGCTGGAGCAGCTGGCACAGGTTTGTGAGCTGTTTCCTCCTCAAGCTTTATCACTTTTATCTTCAGTTCAGTAACGGACGGAAACTCTGACCAACTGCCTGGGGACTCTTGCTTTGCGTAACCACCCTCGTGCTCCCCCCTGGCACCTCCAGCTGATGTCCCTTGAGAAATACAGACCCATGGCCCTCAGCTCCTGGCTTGGTGTCCCCTCGGGGGTCAGCAGGGTGAAGCGGATGCTCATTCTGGGTGAGGAGCAGTGAGCTTCCAGCCCTGGTGCTTGTACCCCATCATCCAACAGTCTGAGTCCCACAGGGCTGGGCTGCATTTCTGGCCTCTCTGGTGGATTTGGGGTTTTTTTGTTTGAGGGAAATGGGGTCCTGGAATAAGGACCCCCTGCCCAAGTTCACAGCAGAAGGAAGAGGTGTCACAGCTGGAGGGAGCAGGGCCCCTGCCATCATCAGCTGGAGCTGAGTCCTGACAATTCACGTCGTGCCACACCAGGGGCAACCCCCTCACTGCTCCTGAGCTGTTCAGCCCCCGTGTGATTGTGTTTGGGGATGGCAAAGCAAAAACAGGGGCTGCAGGAGGGACCTCCAGCACAACCACCTCTGCGGTGGAGCAGCCTGTGCTCCTCCTCACCAGGGTGGGTGCAGGCAGGGGTGAAGTGAAGCCAAGCTGACTTGGTCCTGCCGGGAACAAAAATAGCTGGAAATCCTCTGGGCCAGCCCCATGTGGGTGCCTTTTGCAAGAGACCCAAGAGATCTCTCCAAATTTCTACCCCCATGGGGCAGGGAGCCTGGGAAGGTGCAGGGTGCACCCATTTCTGAGGCAGAGACCACAAGACCCAAACAAATCTGTGACAGGAGGGTGTTGGCCACCAGCACAGACCAGCTGTGACCTGCATCCCGTACCAGCTGCCTCCTGCTCCCCTGCCCGCTCCCTGCAGCCAGACTGGGCTTCTTCCTAGGTGGCTGCCACCCCTTCCTGGGGCCAGGCACAGCTTTCAGGGGGACATCCCCTTGCCAAAGGCTTTTCCCTCAGCTCCAGGTCCCTGGAGTTTTGCTTGCTGGTGCTGGAGCAGGCTCTCGCCTCCTGGCAGCCTCCCTGTCCACATGTGCCTCCTGCCGAGGGCAAACCCTGCGGCATCGAGCCCCTTGTCGGGGCACCACGGGCCCGACCCATGGCTGGTGGGACCAGTGCCCATGTGCAGAGCCCTGTGAGCTGCTGTGGGCTCAGGTGTGAGACCCCCCCCCATCTTGCCCACCTTGAGGAGCTGGTATTTGCAAACTGCTGTGTTTATGGGAGCATTCCCTTCCAAAAGAGAGGGGTGATGCTAAAAGCAAGTTAACCCCTGCAAAAGGGAGTGTGGGTGCCAGGCTGCTGGAGAGCTTCAGCTCCTCGCCCCTGGTGATGGTGATGTAGAAGTTTGTTCATGAAGGGGCTCAGTCCCGGGGAGTTTGTTAGGACAGCCAGGTCACACCCCATCCCACTCACCTCCTGGCTCAGCCCAGAGGTGCTGGAGAATCCCTGGGTGTCCAGGAGCCAGCCAGGTGACTGGCCCATTGCCTGCCCTCCATGGGAAGCCCGACCCACCAGCTCCCGTGGCTCAGCCCCATGTGGCACCAGCTTTAGCACGTGCTGCCCAAGTTGACGGTTCCCAGGTCTCACCCAGCCCCACACAGCCCCCCCAGAGCCCGGCCTCCCTGGCTTTGTGCAGCCGTACAAAGGAGAACCTGTCCAGGCTGCTCCGCGTCCCAGGAGCTGGCTGATAATTAAACAAAAGCAAAATAGCCTTGGCATGAAACTTGACCTTTCTGGAGCTTGGTGGGGGAAGGGGAATTTTGCATCATTTCTGGTGGTTGTTATTCTTATGCATTATGTTTGTTTGTCAGAGATCTCTGTGCTGGGGGAGCAGGGAGTCCCCATGCTCCAATGATGGGCTGGGATGTGGGAGACAAGGTCCAGGCTGACCCTCCCCACGGCACATCGGTCCCTCTGTGGCCCACAGATGGAGGGAAGCACCCTCCAGCCATCATCCTCTGGGATAACAGACATGGTCCTCTCGGGTGGAGGGGTCTCAGCGCTGGAAGGATGCCAGCACCTAGAGTGTGCTGGCCCCATCCCCATCCCTGTGTGGGAGAGAGGCAGTGACACTGTGCCCAAGCCACCTGCATCCCAGCTCAGGGAGCTGATCCCCAATTTTCAGCACCCTCTGCCTTATAAAGAGCCCTGCAATATCGAGGTGCCCAAAGCTCTCCCAGGAAGGGGCTCCGCTTGGCTTCTCCCCTTGGTCCAGGCTGCAGGGGTCCCTCCCCTCGCCCAGCCCATCCCCGTCCCCATCCCCTGCTGTGCCACCCAGCACGGGGCTGCCACCTCCTCTGCCCAGACCTAACAAAGCCCAGCGGCAAATTAATCTTCAACTGGGTACCCAGGATTGTTGCTGTGATGGTTATTATGCTGTGTCCTGCTCTGCG